TTAAGGGATGCTCCATGATGACAGAGGATCTACCGGGACAACTGGAAATTCTTCTACATTTTGCACAATCTCCGTTATGAATGTCAGTAAACTTTTTATTGTTCTCAGCAGTCCTTAACCTCGAAACAATCCGTCATTTTTTTCTGGAAAATTTTGGGAACTTCACCAACTGGAAAATTTAATTTTCCTATGTCTAGGCTGCATTTTAGTTCGCAGAAGGTCCGACTGTTTCTGATGCCTGATCAGTTTTTCTCTTCGAATACCGCCTGCTTGGAGTCCAGTTGTGTCATTTACACTAGCTGGACTAAAAAAATATTTTGGCAGAATGACTTGACGATACGGACCAATGATAATTAGAAATAACAAACTTCAAACGCGAGGAAGTCGAAGCAGCAGAACTACCGGAAGTCGCCATGCGCTGTCGAAATTTCGAATCGTCCAGAAATGCGGAACGCGGAAAATGTAGGCAAGAAAAAATGAGCTGTGTGAAAATTGGTCGCATCAAAATGCATGACTATGAGGACTTTTATGTTCGGGATATATCGTTCGGACTTGAGGGAATAAGGCTGGCGCGTGTTCAATAATTATAACTGATTCCAGCTCTGCTGGTGAGGTTGATTGCCATGAGACCCAGTCAAGCGGGCTGCGTGGCGGTAATTAAAAATGCGCTGACTGCGCAGCTGCCGCGTGCATCAGATGGTGGCATTTGCCCCCTTCATTCATGAGGGTCAGGGCTAGACAAAGGATGGGTACCTTGGGTAAATTATTGTCTTTTCGTGTTTCGCATTATTTTTTTAATGATTTCTCCTATACTCTTTTTTCTTTGCAAGCGAGCAAAATACTTTCCCGCGAGATTCCAGAAGATTTTTTTTTCTACGTGCCCGGGTGCGTCAGAACAATTGGTTGGTACAAAAATAATTCACGGAGCTAAAAGAAACTGAGGTTTTTCAATGTTCACTCCCGTCCGAGAAACCTTTCTGGCCACTTAACAAATTGTTCACATATTTTAGGATTTATATTCTCAATCTAACGGTTCAAGACCTTCAGCCTCATGAAATCGATGTTTTCAAGTTCTGTCGGAATATCATGAAACTTCGCTTTGGCATTTCACAGCAGAAGGTTATTCATGTCCTTTGAAACATTTTATTCATGATAAATTTAAAAACGAGTAAATGCCTGCTTTTGAACTGCTTGAAGAACTCCTACGGCACAGTATTTCTTAGCGGAACACGTGAAGCTTTGAAGGTTTTGAGCGGTACTGAATTCCTACAGAAAAAAAAACATACGGTATATATATCGGATTTATGATCTGGAGAATGCTTTTAACAACAACAAAATCTTCATTTTTTATTTTCTCAGTCCGAACTACGGTATACTTCTTTTTAGAGTTCTAGTCTTCTCGACACGGTAAACAATAAAGTAATCGTGATAAGTACTCTTTTAAAAAATTTGCGAAAGCACCATTTGCAAACGTAACGTGAGATTGAAAGCACGTAAAGGATTGTATACAGTATTTTCCCCTCTCGAAACGCTTTCTTCGCAGGAATGCAATTTCTTGAGGTGATATGGACCCGGTAATCATAATATTGTACATTACCATTTGAGAGGTGAATTCCGACAGAAAAAAAAAAGATTACTGTACAAGCTTGTATTTTTTAGTTTATAATTGCATTACGCAATGAAGTAGGAAAGTTTTTTTTAATACACCTATCCTTCAAGCCCTGTATTGTCCCTCAGTGCAATGCAGTTCTGTACGAATTGGCATATTTTTAAGTATGTGATAATTCGTCCGAAGGTCTCCAGTAACCTTTTTTCAGCTCGCGTGTTGTTGCAACATTCTAGCGCATATACCTCAGAATGGTTTTGTTCTTTAGAATCACAGGAAAGCGGAAGTAATCATCTATACACGAAAGAAATGATAAGAAATATTGTATTCTCTGTTGATTAACTGGTGGGCTACTCTCGGGAAAAAAGCGGAATAGTTACTTAAACTTAGTATTGTACAAGAAAAACTCAAAGCAATGGAATCCTCGAAGAAAAAAATTTTTCTTCGATGTACTGTACAGTACTTCCTCTACTGTATCGAGTTCTGCAAAAGGTATGAGGGACATGTGTTTCCTGTGAAATGTGATATCGTTCCTAGTTAACACTCTAGTGAGGGGCTATCTTCACTTCACTTTGACGCAGTAAGTAACAGTAAGTGACAAGAACGGAAAGCACTGCGATTGTGTGAATATATTCTTTTTACGAAACCAAACGATTGAAATAAGAATACTTTCTTCATAGAATCGCGTCTATCCAGTGTTATTTCGTCCATATTCGACTGTTCGTCATTTTGTGGAAAACATTGATGGTTCTAGTTATTTGGGTTGTATGTTGCGAGAGAGATGTGCTTTACAGCAATTAGGGACAGCGGTAAATACATTTTAATGTGTGTTGCCTCGTTCACCTCTGATTGATTGAGTCTCGAGATTATTAAGAATTTCTCGATTTATACGCACAAAAACTAGCAATGTTTTGCTCGAGTATTCTTCGACAGTTGAAAATGTTGAATTTTAAAAATAAATTTACAGAATTCGAAGAGACAGACAAGAACCTCGGTCATTAGCGCTCATCATTTAATTGCTGTTCGACTCTTACTTGTAACGTTGAGGGAACGTACCTTGAAGATTAAACCCGCTTGCATTTCCGCTTGTTCGTTTTTCAAATTACTGTATTAGTGCTTTGAAGCGAATACCGTCGCTAGTGAAAAATTCTGGATTCTGAATAAGGTCGAAGAATTCTTCTAGCGCCAACGTTTTATGTCTACTTCGTCTGAACTTTGCGGCTGTAATTGAATTCCAAGAAGACGCGGTATCCGCTTTCATGTAATACTGCACTGTAGTTCGCTTCCCTAAAGCCTGATAGGAAAGAAAATCTGCAAAAACATGATACACGTCCGCACATTTTTTTTAGTGATGCACGGGAATACTGTAGAATATTTTATTATGGCTCTTTCGTGTTCCTTCACCGTTCTGGCAAGAGTTACCAGCATGTTTTTATCTGAACTTATATTTTTTCCGCACTTTAAAAATTAAATGTTTTTCATCAAGAACTTTATGGCGAGACAAGATGTTGGCCCGAACTATGAAGGCAGTGGAATTTGGGTTTTACTGCAAATACTGTATATCCACGGCTTGTGAATTCCCCTCAGATTGAAAAAAATATCCAGAAAAAATCTTTCAAAGAAAACCTGTGGAGATATCTAGCACAGGTGGCTCTGCTGGTCTGATTGAAATCCATGTGCCAGTAAGTTGGTAACCAAAAATTTTAAATACATTTGGCGGTCCGCGGTGTGAGTTGGGAACACTGGTGTAGAACTCTAGCTAGAATGCTAGATCATTCTATGCATAGAACTAAATAAAACTACTGCATGTTCATGTTATCTTCAAATATTGTACAACATTCTCCAGCGTGGCCCTTGGAATTTTAATTGACTTCAAGGGAAAATGTCGTAAAAGCACGCATTTTCGCGCTCGAAAATATTCTGAAAGAATTTGCTCATGTGAAAAAACTGCTACGGCAGTTATTTTTGATTCCACTTTATCCTTTTCCAGAGTTAATTTTGGGTTTTTCTCTTTTTTAAAATTCTAGAGACGATCGTTGTTAAACGCTTTGCGTGACCGTAGTTTCCAGAATAATAATACTGTGATAATAATATAAATAGTGGCTTTGAAATGTCAAGCAGAGTATCCGCCAAATTTGATTTGTAGAAAGAAATAAGTCTATTTTGTGGAATAATGTAATTCATCCTCAAGAAAAATTACTTCGAACAAAACGTCATTTCAGATGTTAAGCATGGCATCCGCCAAATTTAAAATTGAAAAATATAAAATACTGTATCTAAAAATCTGGTTTGCAAAAAAAGCTGTCCTCGAGGACAAGGAAGCTGTAGTACACACTGATACTCCCAACTTGACTGTCCTGATGCATTGGAGTGATAAGAAATGCATTTAAATTATATACAGATCTCAAGGGCATATTTGTATACGTCACAGTGTACCCAGTTGCTGGAAAATCCTTCTATGAATAATATGATGCCTGCGTGCACTGTGATATTGTATAAGGAATATTCGGCGAGAATTTACTTTTTGGAAAGCGTTACGTTATTCCCTTAGCAATTTTTCCTGCTCAAATTACAGCATTTGAAGTATGAAGGATCGAATCCCGCTAAAGCCTGCGTCGCTCTCGCTTCCATTCTACCTTCCTGCAAATTTTACTTGAGTACATCAGCAAGGGACATTATAGGATTGTATATACTGTACTGTACTGTATTACGGTCTTCAGTACGGTAGTGTATCTTAAAGGCGTGATAGATGTCGTTCCACAACTACGCCTTGTTTGCAACGCACAGTGGTACGCTAAAATCGAACACAGAGTCGATCATAAATTCAAAAATGTGCGGCTATGCATAGTAGTTCTGTGCATCAATTGTTTATATTCAGCGAAAAAAGCTGAAGATCGTCGGCGATGACCGTAGGAAGTTCCAGTTCCGTAGTTGCCAGAATAACTTTCACCAAAATTATGCGCTGCGCCATGTGCCCATATTATTTGAGCATTGAGTCGGTTGGGGCAACATCACAGAAAGGTGTGCCATGATGTGGACGTTATGTTTCGTGATTAGTCTGATGAACGTGTCTTATTAATCTTATACTGTAGGCTTCTACAGTACGTAAATGGGTGCGGTTAAGTTACCAAAATATATGTTATACTGTATTTTCTTTTGATAATCTCGATTATAAGTACTGGAGCTTAGTCTCATCAGTGAAGCATTTTCCCCGAAGCACGTGAACTTCGTGCCATTTGATGCTTTCATACATTGTAGGATTTAATCGCATTTTCGGCTGAGTCTGATGTCTTCCTCGTCAGTGTCACGTTTTGTTGATTGAACTTCTGTGATTCCGGGCGAGGAGAGCCTCGTTCGCATCCGTTGACCGTTACCGAATTATTACCGAATTGCTTCGTTTTTGCAGGTGATCAACTAGCCGATCTGAATGGCTGGGAAATGCTTGACTCTTCTACGTCCCGCTGTGTTTCGATCCATTTTTTCGTCTTGACTGTTTCGCTGGTATTCTCGTTCTCGACGACTTCGTCGTTCTTTTGCTAATGAAGTCACCCGGTAAGTCTGGAACCTTGCTGAATCTTAAATTCACTTGTATCCGTCATTCACATTCGGCATGACGCGATTCTCGGAAAAGCGATTTAGCGTATATATAAAGTTGATATTTCTTAATGCTTTCCATTCTCAGGTATCCTGAAGCGTACACGGGAATTCCGTTGACAGTATGGCGCTACATCAGGGTGTTTCGCCGGTTCAAAATTCGGAGAAATCCGGGCATCGAACGGAGGAGTCCCATCTTTCAAAGCAGGATGGTGCTAATTTGCACAGGTTCGTTCCTCTTCATTTTTTTCCTAAATATATTCATGTAATATTTTTTATTGTACGTTAGCCCGAATGGTCTCTCTTCTCCCGAAGATGATGTGGCCATGAGTGAGGCCGAAAAGGCTTTGAAACAGGCCGAAAAGGAGCGCTTTGCTATCGTGAAAAAGTATGACATCGGTCGCGAACCTGGTGCTCAGATTGATCCTTGGGAGGATCCTGGGTTTGAAATATATCATACAACTGACCGTTACGGGTTTATCCAGTAAGTATTGATACTGTAGCTGTTAATTGACGTGAACAAAGTTTAGTAAATCGTGGAATCTTCGTTTTTTTCAGCGATACGCGACTTCCCCTGTATGAACCGAAAGAAGCTAGACTTCGAGAAGTAGAAGTTCAGCGTGAGAAGAAATGGCGCAAAATGCTGGAGGACTGGTCTAAGTATAGAGGCACTGAAAAACTCAACAAACGCATTTACAAAGGCATTCCGAATTCCCTCCGAGGTCGGGTATGGGGAGAGCTTCTTCGAGTTCCTGACTTACAGCGAGAGCAACGCAACAAATACGAGGTAATTCGTCAAAGTTAACTCTTTTTCATAATTTCATGGTGGACATTGCAGGAGATGAAGACTTTGGCGAGAAAATGGTCGCCTGACATTCGACAAATTGACCTTGATGTTAATCGTACATACCGGGACCATGTTAGCTTCCGTGACCGATACGGGATCCAACAGAAAAACTTGTTCCATGTGTTGGGAGCCTACTCTATGTATAACCAGGAAATCGGTTACTGCCAAGGGATGTCTCAAATAGCTGCTTTACTATTGATGTACATGGAAGAAGAAGAAGCTTTCTGGGCATTATCTGCGCTGATGGCAGATCAGAAGTACGCCATGCATGGTTAGCGTTGTTTTTTTTGTGTCAATCCTGGAAAGACCGTTCAACTTCTTCATTTTTTTAGGATTTTTCATTCCTGGATTTCCGAAGCTTTTGCGATTCAAGGATTATTACTCTAAAATCTTGGAGCGTTTTCTGCCGAAGCTGAAGCGACACTTGGACAAAAACGGAGTTGATCCGTTAATTTACACGCTGAAGTGGTTTTTCCAATGTTTTCTCGATCGCGTAAGATTTAGGAAATGTTTACCCATTAAGTAAATGTTGATCGCCCTCTTTTTATGTTTTAGGTGCCATTTTCGCTTACCTTGCGGTTATGGGACGTTTATTTATTGGAAGGTGAATGCATCTTAACCTCCCAAGCGTACAATATATTGAAGCTACACAGGAAAACATTGATGAAACAAACCATGGATGATATTTTACACTTCCTTCAATCGAAACTCGAGCATGATTTCCTGTTCGACGACGATCATGTAATTCAAAGCCTTCAAAAGTGTTTGGATGAACTTAGAAGAGCGAAGCTACTACATTTTGGTCCGCCGCCCTTGGATGAAGTGCCTAAACGGCCATTTGGGCTTTATGTTGAGCCACCTTTGTCTCAAAAAATTGGGCGTCGCTCTAATTTCACAGACGAGGAGCGTCGGATCAAGGAAGATTTAATTCGTCGGCAAGACAAAGAACTAATGGAAAGCTTGCGAATCGAAGGACTTCGAGCAGCGAATCAGGCTCGTCGCGCTTCCTTGACTGGTTAGTCACGAATTTACTCTTACACACATGTCATGGTCTTCTTGAATGCTACATAGCTTAAATTAAAGGAAGTTATTGCGACCATTTTTACTTTTAATACAGTAGTTTAATAGTAACGTTCAATTTAACTGCTTATGAAAATCGTTCGGCCAACTGTTATAAGTTTGCATAGAACATAAGCATTTACCGATTTATAGTGAACATCACATATCCGCCCATATCGAAATTATACGTGCAATAATCTCATGGCCAATCATGTGATGCTGAAAAGGTTTTCTTCAAAACTGAGGAGGAGGAAAACGGAGAAGGTTATGTACTTGCTGTGTTAATCCCGAAGGTAGGCTATGTGATGTGAAATTTAGATTCACGTCGAGCTTACAGTTTTTCTTTAATTCATCATTCTATTTACAGTATGAAATATTTGAGCAAAGAAGCCGAGAGTAGGCCCACAAGTTCAAATATCGGGCATGTTTTTTCCGTCTATTTTCAAAACTCATTCTCATGTTGGGTTATTTTTTTGACGGTCTGTAAACATTAGAATTATTTTATTTTAGGCGGTTCTCAAGGTTCTGAAGGCCCAAGTGTGGATGAAGTAAGCAGCGTCGGCAACGACATCCGTCATCGGAACTCCATGTCATCGGTAACGGCAACATCTGCCACATTTTCAGTACAGTCCTCGCACACGCTGTCACAAAGCCAGGTTAGTTGTAGTTGGTACCCACACGGCTGAATCAACCGAACTTGTGCTGTGCCTTATCCTGTGAGTTGCATCAGAAGATCCAACGTCCATTATAGCTGGGAAGCTTTGTTACTTTTGTATATGTGAGAGATATTCGTACTAATGCTAACATTGAAAATTGGGACCCTGGAAGGACGATGTACTGTACGTGCGTTGACATTCGATTGAAGGAGCGGTTTCAAATAGATTTCTGTTTATTTAGTCCGCCGGGATGGGAATCGATGTTTCGTTTTCCCAGCAGCCGTGTGCGAACTATACGAAGCCCAACAGATCCAATTCGAGTGGAATGTTGGGAAAATCATTTGGCGTAACATGGCCTTTCGAGATGATGAATTTTTATACCGTACTGTATTCCTATAAATGTTTCCAGTTGATATTTATAACCCCAAAGTTACGTTTTCCTATTTAATATCATCTACGCACATACTTCCTTGGATCTGCGTCTATGCAATATCATGATATCTTTCGAATCTCCCTTGCAGAACAAATTAAAATTTAAAATTAAAGAGTGCAGTGCTCCTAAATTCTAACGAACGAGAAATTTCTCAATCTGAAGGTTTTCCGAGGGTCATACGGATCCCTTTGCTTCAGAGGTTTTGTGGTGTACAAGGTCTTCTGTGTGTGATGAAGTGCGGCTAAAATTCATCATGATTTTCTTCAAATTTGACTTCGATTTCCGAAGGCACCATCACTTTGGCACGTTTTCAACTGGAGACTAATGAACTAATATGCTGCCTGCATAATATTTTGCATCATGCGGATTGAAATCATGGATTATGCATGGTGATTTTTAAGTGAATGTGGAAGTACTGTACTGCCTCCACGTCAGTTGAGGACGGCTAATTCCGTTCTGGGCTAACTTGTGGGTAGATGGATCAATTTATATGTGTTTCCAAATGAACGACCACCAAGACTCGCTCATATTTCTTAATTCAAGATTTCCCAGGATTATTTCCAAATAATTGACTTATTTTTTTGTGAAGTTCAGCTTTTACGCTTTTTGGTTGTTGCCGCACTATTGAATAATTTCTGCAGCAGTTCCTAATTTTGTCGAAGTGGGCGTTCATTTGCCACTGGCATTTTAATTTTAATGATGATGTGCATGCGACGCCTCAAAATGAATCGGACTGTAACCATGTACAGTTTCGAATACTGTAATTGCTGATTCAATTTTCTTTGCAGCAACACTTACTGTTTTCTCGTACGCCACCGAGAAAGCGGATGGGCAGTGCGCAATCAGAGAGCAGCCTCATGCACGAAAACGGCATTGTGAAGAATGCGAAGAACGGAAGCATCTCAGCGGGGCCAAAAGGTTCACCGAGAAGAATGCGGGCCAGCAATTTGCAGCATCGAAGAGCAGCGCCAATGAGTGCAGTCGAGAACCGCGAAAAGACCAAAGGCAGTCGTGCAGCAGTTGCGACCGAACCAGCAATGAAGCTCGACTTGGACAACGTGGATTTCACCAACGGTGACGATGATGATGATGCTGTAACGCCGACACCCCGTACTCCAAAAACATTCCCGGATACAGTGAGAATCTACGTACCGTACCGTAATGAAGAGCTTCTTCCACCCGTTCCTGGTCCAACTGCTACGTCTACTCCGAAGAGCAGCGCCTTCCGGACTAAGCAACCCATGGAGAACGGGAAAATCCGAGGAAGACCCGCGAGTGCTTCTCCGTGTGATGGTAATCGCGTCTCGCGGAAAGAATTCTTTGCTCCTCTGTACTCGCCTGATCCAAGTGGAAAGTCGCAGAATTACCAGGGCACGGATCCTAATAGGGTCACGATACGTGTAGATCCACGCGATGCGATGTCGTGGCCGAACTCGTTGTCATCCCCTCCATCGTCTCCAACGCCCGTCATGTCTCATCCCGGGGTTTCTCATTCTGCGCCACCTTTGGGACGTGGGGCACGAATGCGACCTCCTGTACCTGCTAGGTACGTGGGTAACCGATGAAATACTTTTTCGAGCTGTTCGAAACTTCTGCGCTTCAACCAACGCGTTGTTTTTCTCCACCCATAAGCTGCAAACGCGTGGGAAATTACGCATGTACTGTTCGTCGTTTTGGCCAGGTAGAAACGCACCCTTTCAGTTCATTCGAAACGAATACTTTTTTCGCTGTGTCAAATTAAGTTGAAAGTTTCCTAGGCTTGTTCCTGTTCTTGAGACCGCGCTTCTCCAGTGACGGAAATTCCCACTGAGATATGAAGTTTTTTCTCATCCACGAACACGGTAGAAAAAACTCGCGGACAGTATTCATGCCTACGTTTCGATATACTCCGACGGGTGTGTTGAGTGTGAGGTTGGCGTCAGTAAATGTTTTCTCGATGAGTGGGGGCCCTCCATTCTTTCCAGAAACCTACTTTTATCTCTGGGATTGCCTCGTGAAATTTGTCACGTTTTCAAACGGAACACATGAAGGTAGAAATTGTCTTTCCGTTGTAAGACTATCGTGGAAAGGAAATTAGATATTTCCATATACTGTAGTGCTCTGATGAGATGCTTAGTCGTACTTGATCATCTGAATGTGTTGGACTAAGAAAATTTGTGTTAACCAACGCCGTACGAATCGCTTTGTAGTTCATTTTTAGTTGCGGGACAGAAGGAAAAGCCGAGTGTCTGCCTTTATTCCACTAGTCTACGCCACAAATGTTTATTGAATTTTGTGGAGGTTTATCAATGCTTAGTTGAGATTATCGTTGGTGTGTTTTTCAAGAGAACATGGGGGTTTCCTGAAAAATTTCTTACGATCAAAAACTTTAGTTTTAATTCATCTTTGTTGCTTGCGTGAGCTTCCGCAAGCAAATTTTCCCGCTAGTCGTCGGTAATCAGCCATTCCTTTTTTCATTTGCAAGTTTTCGGTCATGCGTTATAAAAATTGCGTTACGTTTTCTGGAATACATAACCAAAGCGAAGTTGGTTGTGACCAGATTAAGGAAACACGTGTTCGACAGCGTAGTTCTATTTTTTTTCGCACGCCTTTTCGAACTTCGGTGTATGGTATTCAGTTTCCTTGTTGCTAATGTCCAGTGAATGAGTCTTCCTTGAAAAAATTTTCTATCGTATCGGAGAAGTAACTTCGAACTGGGCGTCCAAGTTTTCATCTGCGCGTGAATGGAGCGGAATTTGCATTGCACGGACTTCATGTTGCTAAGATATCCCGACGGAACTCATGTTGTCATTCCCTTTGCAGCCGGATTTTTTTTCTCCGAGGCCGTTTGTGGTCGTGTTTTGCTGCCTTTTTAAAGTTGCTTTTATGCGGTTTTTTTTAATTAACATGTAAAATGCGGAAGAGGTGATACGAATGTTCAAGCGATGCTTATCGAAGTGACCGAATGGTGTGTCCGAGTTTCCCCTTATCGATAAATGTTGATCCTACGAATCGAGATGCATGAATTTTGGAAATCAAGTAGTTGAAACGGAGATCTGTATTTCTACTGCATACCGTGTCTTATTTTTTGTATGTGCAATTGAGGAGAGGATCGATTTTCAATTGCGGTATATTTTTGCTCCCAAAGCCCAACATTGTGTTCTGACCAACGATGAGCCGTCATTTGCGTAGTTTTTTTTTCCATATTCATGGTCACGAGATATTTTGCTGGGAAGAGTATTGAGATATTACTTCATCTGGAAAAAAAAAATTTCACACGATGAAAAGTCAGTGCGTTCAAATGTAGAAGACGTGCTAAGTTGTATGTATCGTTAGTACCTTAAGTCGCGCGAAAAATGATTGCGGCATGATTTAAGGTGTAGGGTACTTCTTCGAGGTTCACTTATGAGTCTGAGTATATCCAGTTGTCAGGTTTTCAGGTTTCAGTTTCGATAAGGATATAGGGATCATCATTGAACCTCACAGTGAAAATGTCTTAGTTTCCCGGTTAACTAAAGTTTTTATAAACCGCGGTACAACCGTTTTCTTGGGTGCTCCATTGCAGTAGTAGTGAATTGTCTTGGGGGGGGAAAACTGAACCGAGAACGCGTCCTTGTGTTGAGTTGTTTTCACGCTTTTGTCCATTCCGAGCTCGTCTCCGATCGAAACCGCTGATACCATTGTTTTCTACTGGCGGCTCGACGGCTTGTGTCGCCGTGGTCTCAGAAGGAAGACGCTGAAATCCTGCTGCTGCGTTTTGTGATGCTTCGTCCGAGTCACTCGTCTCGCTCTGTTAGCGCGTTCGGGAGCAAACACTTTTTTTTTCTTTTCTCTGGGTTTTTCACGAAACTTTGGCACTTCGTTGAGATTGATCCCATATTTTTGCAGAACGCGTCGTTTATTTTTAGCTGCGGGAACTGAGCTTCGTTAGCTGATTCGCGGTTCCGCTGTTTTCGGGAAGTCCGTGCGCACTTGTTTGCTTTCCAGTCGAGCTTGTCGTTCCATGATGTTAGTGTGGATGCGTTGTGAGTCGAAAGGAGTCAAACCAACGAAATTTTTTTTTTCATTTTTATCGAATTTGTTGAAAATCGCGTATGTTGTGCGCGACGTCAGTCTACTTGGGATCTGTGATGCTGATGTTGAATGAAAACATTTTCCAACGCGGGAAAGTTGACGGATTTTACTTGTCCGTTTACGAATCGTGTACTGAATTGCGACGAAGTCAAGAATGAAGAAAGTCTTGATCGATATTCAGGCGCGGGTTTCCTCCGTCTTTTGTTATCGTTTATCGATAACCGTTGTTTCCGCTCGAACGCCTGTCGCGATCCAGCTAAAAAAATTCGTGCTTTAAATCTCGTTCTTTACGAATCTGATGCATTCTGTTCGTTTTTCATTGTTGCAGTTTTCAAAGTTAAAATAACAAAGCTCATCAAGTGTTACCGTATTTTTAGATTGGTTTAGCCCAGTTGATGCTTTATGTGGATGTAAAATTATTTGATCCACAATAAAGCCATTTAACATTCTCTTGAGATCTTCCTGGAATGATGACCAATCAATTATAAGTGGTTAGATTTTATTTACGAAAAGAAAATATTTGAGAAATAACTTTAGGGGATGATTGTGTCAAGGAGTGTTTGATTTCCGTCCGCAGTCCGATTTTCGAAGCGTTTTCAGGTAGGTTTTACAGTACAGTAATTCGAAATACGAGGAGTTCAGATGATGTGATCATCGGAAAATATTGCCCAGATTTTTTTCTCATCCGCATTTTAATTTCTGTCCACTCAAGATTAGTCCTACCCAAGATTGGAAAGTTGAAAGTCATCTACTTCGTGACCTTTGACCCAGTTTCACTCATGAGTTTCACTCATGGTTCACTCATGAGTGAAACAGCGAAGTGCACTGAGCCCGTTGCCCGAACTGTTGTCTCCAATCCTGCCTCATTTTCTCCTTCAGGATGATAGGGTAAATTTTTGAGGTTCTCCGTTGCTCCAAAACCTTGCAGGAAATATTTATCTGAAAAAGTCCATGGACGTTTATGGGAAGGATTAATGCGTTGCTGGCTTAATTTTATTTTTTGTTATTGTTTGTATAGCAAAATCGTCTGCGAGGAAATGACTTGAAAGAAGACAATGCATTTAAAAAAAAAAAAATCAGAATGTAATCTCCGATGTGTTGATCGTTTGAGCTCCTCCACTTTAATCGGTATTACTGTATGAAAATTTTGGCTGCGTGACGAGATCACATTTCTCGCAAGATTAATTTAATGGCAGTGAATTCAAGAAAGATTTAATTTTTTGCAATGATTGATGTCGCTGGCGTTTGAGTGGAAGGTAATTGCTGTGCTGATTTGCATTATTTTGATGGACCAGCCGCTTTTCTCATGCTTGAAGCTTTCGCTTTGTTCCGCAGGTGATAGGTTTTTCTTTTTTTTGGTATGTTCAAAATATGTCCGCGAATGTGACCGTGATCGATCTCGACGAGAGACCGCAATACAGCAACTATCCAGGATTCTATTTGGGGATCGCAATTTGTACTGCGTTCTTCGGGCTATTGGTTCTGCTCAACACGATTTGCATGTGCACACGCTTCCGTGATTATTGGAGAAGCAAGAACACAGGGAACAGGCTTATTGGACCTGTGTACCTCTCCAGTCCCCATCAAACGCAGCCGCTTGTTCTCTAAAACGGTGAGTTACGGCACTTTATTGCGTCTTGTTCCTTCCCTTTTTTAAGGTAGATGCAGTACTTCCTGGTTGCAACATTCTTCCAGGGTTTTCATATCCGTCTGGTCATATCCAGTACTTGCCCCGCGTTTTTTCATTTTCCCCACCGGTTTGCTTTATTCAACGAAAAATCAGTTGAATAATCTGAAAACCATTGTTTTTGAAGATAGTGCGCTTCAGGTTAATGGAACAACCTCAAGAGTTCCTGACGAAGCCATTTCTGTCTGAAGATTGCACTCGTTGTGCGCTATCTCAACTAATGACTTGAACAACGCGGAAAAGTTATTGGAGCGCTGAGAGGCTTCTATTGTATGAATAAAGGCTTTTAACTCACAGAAAACAAAGTCAGCATCCTTCTAAGATCTTGATCTCGAATATTCAATCTTGAATTTCATTTGAATTTTGAGGAAGTCGGAAGTTTGGATTGACTACCGTATTGTGTGTGGGCAGAACGTTTTGAAGATAGTTGGCGTGACGGAGTAGGGCATCTGAGTTGCAAATTCGGAAAGAAGTAAACATTAAAGCTGCGATTGGACCAGGAGAAAAGAAAGAAATGAGAGTACGAAGAAACCCATCATTCTAGCCGAAATTTTTTTTTACACCTGTTCGTTGTTGTTTTTGGTTTCAAAGAACGACGACTTACCATTACTGAGGGGGTGCTTATGTTCGCATTAGTACGGTAAGAGAGAATCAGAAAGAACTCCGAAATTCCATAAAATTCCCGAATGACGCTGACATTCCCGATGTTGTTCAGTTAGCGTTCGAATGGATTGGATTAACATCCATCATGCGGCGTCCATTGGCAATTTTTAGAATGGGCGTTGAACGTAAGTTGCACGCATAAATTTGGGCTCTTCATTGAGAAATTGTACAGTACAATACCTATACTGTACTTGTATCCGTTGCACTAGCGATGCTCGAAAAGCTATATTCATTGCGGTTTGATCAACTGATGAGATTTTTATGGCTCCCAAAAATTCAAATGAGCCGCTCATAGTTTGCGTGTGATTGTTTGACTTGGTGGTGATGAATGCCGATAGAAGTACTGTACTACCTAATCCGCCGAAGCATTTATGCTCTGCATGCCTTCTTGTACGCGGAAATTGATGCTTTGTGTCGTTCAAATTACTTGCCGTCCTGAATTTAAGCCGCAAGTTTCATACGAAGTTCCATGTTTCTTGATGAGGCGCATCTAAGGAGCTTTGAGTCGGAGGGAAATGCGCTTTATTTTGTTGTTGAGTAAGCGACACGAAAGACTCATGCGGAGACGTAGAATATTGGTCCCGTGAGTGTTGAATTCATTCCACTCAGCGTGGCACGATCTATCTCCATCCAACTTGATGGTATGTGACGTTTTCTTCAACGTCTTGAATGCTCTCCGAGCCCGTGGTGAACTGGTGATACGATTCCAGTGGACCGGAGTATTTTTAGGAGCACTTGTATAATAATCAGCCAACACAGCTTCATCCGTTCCCTTCAAATTGTGATGCATGCGACTTGAAAATAATCATTATTCAGAGGACGAACGAATTTCCTTAAACTTGAAGATGATGGCAGATTACTTTTGGAAGTGATTTATTTTTAAAAATTTATTCTGCAAAATGCTTATCCGATTGATGGACTTCCGTATCAGAAAATGTGAAAAAATAGATTGCGGCATATGTTCGAGATACAGTAATTGAATTCTTTATCGGCCGCATCAAACCGCATATCTTGAAATATTATCTAGGTTAAATGTACTCCCCAACTCAAAGGCTTTCCTCCGCAAAACTCCCTGAAGTGTATTTCTTGAAGGCATTTTGGCTATTTCACTTACACTGAAAGAGAAAGGCAATAGAGCGGTAACTTTATGTGCTTTAACGGAAGTGAAACACTCATTGGGCAAATGAACGTTTTTCTCCAAGTTCAGCATCCTGTCAACTAATCTTGAGATCAATTTAAGGCCCAGAATATCACCAGTTACAATATCCTGTAATTTTTGAATTTCAAGATACTGTGTCACGTGCCGGGCTAGTGGCTGGATCAGGAGAATTTAATGATCAGAGTTTTTAATCGACGTGCAGTACATTCGTTTCTTCTTTCTAATGCCGCAATTCTTCCGAGTTTCCGACCATCTTTCCTCCGAAAACCCTAGTTGGTATATTTTGAGATGTGAGAGGAAAGTTGAGCGGCCTGAGGAAGAGTCATGACGGCGCATGGAAGTCCCATCAAGGTTTTCGAGCGGAGAAAATCGAGGCGGGACTGAGATTGAAGACCTGTTTCGATGGTGCAGTACTCGCTTTTATCGACGTAGGGCCAGAAAATGTGTATTCCGTCGTTGTCAAAGAAAAATGCCCTCGGAACACTGCATCTGGCAAGGACTTATCTGAAACTCAGGTTGGAGGCGCTAGCTATGGTCCAAGTGACTTTCAATCTTCCCCTGCCGCACCATCCTTCAGCCCTTTTGACTGCATCAGACTCAAGCTTCTATTCCGATAAATCGCAGGGATTTGTGATTCTCCTGACCGGATTCTATGAAACGAAAGTGAGCGTGAACCTTTTTGTAGAACAATGTCCAGCAAAAATTAATTCCGACTGTTCGTACTCCTGAAGTGCTCCAAATATTCAGTTTTCGATAGACGTGGCGTTTGACAAACCATCACTGAACTCCGATTGATCAGGAGGAAGAAAAACCTGTCTTTGCTCCTTATAATTTAAATGCTTAATTTCCGCCTAATTGACCGCTGAAATCCCTCCAAGTTTTGCGAAAAATTGAGCGGATTTGATTCCCGGACATTCTAAAAATGTCCAAATTTTGAATACATTACTGTAATTCAATACAGTCAATGTCCGATTTTCCGTAAGGATTAATCCTGGTTGAGACGTATATAGCTGGGATATTTCGTATGAATTCTTCTTTAAACGGTCAAATAAATACCGCTGTAGGGTTCGTTTTGCGATAAAGTTTGGCATTGACGAAACATTTTGCTGTGAAAGGAATTCTTCGTCTGAAAATTAGCATTCGTGTACGTCCATGATTACAACAATTTCAGTTAACAAGCAAATCTGCCGCCATATCCCTGACATTTTATATCAAGGTTTAATTTTGAAGCGAGCATGAAGTTCGTTTTCTTGAGGCATTTTCATGTGTCAACGTGAAATATTGTTTCTGCAGAGTTTTCGTTGACGGGGTTGACACGTTGTCGATGGAATGAAGACATGAAAATAACATCGTGACCTTGACTCTCGTCCGCCTGCTTCACCTCTGATATCCAGTACAGTATTATAAAAAATTTCCAGAATGAAAGTTCGGAAGAAACTTTTCTTATGCAAATTGTGTGACTCGCTGAAGCGCTTACTTTTCGTGAATCAATGGAGTAATTTCGTAGGAAACAAAATTATGCAAATCTGAGAGAACTCTTATGTACGAGCTCAAGGTAGCTTTCTTTTGATAAAATTGGTGAACCATCGACCACGTTTCGTAGCGAGAAGTGGCTGAACGGCACAAGAACATCTTGTTTGAAGATTGACGTTAGGAACTTTTGTACGAAAAATAGAAACGCTTCTAATGTTGGCGAAAGGTCAAGTGCTCCACACGCGTTGTGAAAAAGTCGTCGCGGGATCAGTTTGAAGCTGGTGAACTTAGATCCTTCGACTGTATGGAAGAAAAACATGCATTTAAATAAGAAGGCCCAGTGTTGGGAAGTTTGTATTATACCGTGTGGTTTCAACATTTCCTGTTTACAAAGCAGGACTTCTTAAACTCATTAGCACTTAGTGTTGTAGAATTGCGTAACTCGTGTCGTCATCACCGAATTTGAGTGTTTATAGACCGCACCAATATTTTAGGCTGCAATTTGATGTGAAATTTTGATCCTTAAGTTTTATAGAAAAAATCGTAAATTGGAGGCTGAATGACTTCTTCACAGGCTAACGAATATTGACAACGAAGCGACATTTAAGGCCTTCTGGAAAAGAAATTACGTGGTTTGAGTTAATGAAATGAAACTCGGATTTTACATCGAATGTCGAGTCTCGCATCCACGCTATGCATATGAGAGAGTGATGCTATGTGTGCAGAAACGTCCCAAGTTTCTATATTTTTGGGGGAAAAATGCGCCATTTAGAGGGATTTCATTTGCAGGTTGACCCTCCGACGAAATTCAGGGGAGCAAAAAAAAAATGGTTGTAGAGAGCGTTTCGCAGTAGAGAACCTGTAAAATATGGGTAGAGCCCCCTATGCGGCCAAAAAAAAAAAGTTCTGCACAGAAAATCGTTGTAGACAAGATCGTTGTAAATAGTGAACCTGTACAGTATTTAATTTTGGTCTGGGAACTCATTTCGGATTGCTGCAGTTTTCAAGCCTACGAAAGGTATTCCTTATTTCGGGCGCGATCTTTCTTGTTGAGATGACCTACGGAAAGGAAATACTGTATTGTACTTTACTGTACAGTATATGCGTTTAGCGGGTCTGTGAGCAAGCATCGCCTCTCCCATTGTGCACGTACGTTACATAAAGTTTTAATGAGAACAACGCTTGATGGCTGTTCTGGTCCAGTTGCTGACGTCGTGTTTTCGTTATGCTTTTATTCTGCAGAATCCCATTTCCTGTGTTCCCGTGCGTGCCATACAAAAGCTGAAAGAGTCCGGCCTGATCGCGTCATGTTTTTCACTATCGCATGGCCGTCGGTCATCGCATTGGTGGCGTTGGTCATCGTCATCGCTGTGGCGATACTCAGACATGCGGACAAGTGCTGCCGAGCTCGTCATGGTGCGAGGAATCAAAACTACGAACTCAACTTGGTCACATTTACGAAAAACGTGTCGAAAAGTGACGAGTGCTTTGTGACGCGCGGCAGGGACGCTAATAAGTAGTAGAGTGACACTCCTTCTCCAGAGCGTCTCCGGAAACTGAAGCAGAAATATTAGTGGCAGAAATTAATCCAGCTGTTTTATGCATGCGTTAGATTGGATCTAACCGCCAGGGGACGGTCAGCGACTTCTTTCACCTTTTCTCACGTGAGTATAAATTTTACCATTCAGGATGGGCGAATTATAAAGAAAAAGGGTCCAAAACTTTACTTTTTAATAGTTTTCGTTGGCACTTTCCACGGAACAGGGCGTTTTATTTGAACGGAATAAGGAAACGACCGATTTTGATGATAGCTTATTAAATTTTACTGTGACCTTGATGGTTTTTGATATCGGACATGAAAATCAAATCGCTCTTTTTCCAGCGTTTGAATCTCAGTTTAATTTTAAAATCCCTTCAGATAATTAGGTTACAATTATATAATTCTCTGGCCAACGAAAACTGCGAATCATGTGCGCAATGAGCCAGGTCGACGTGACCAAGGAAAATCCGCAAACGCTTTACTAGTGATATCTGGGATGAAACTTGTTGAAACTTTCAATTTAAGTTTTATTTGGAATTGCTTCCGAAAATAATGATTTATAAATTCCCGTAGTCAGTGTTATCACACGTCCTCAAAAAAATCAGTATGCAGTGTATTCAATGATCTGTAAGGTTTTACGCTGAGAAACGGGAGTCTTCAGCATATTCAGCACTTCATCGCTCAATACAAATCGTATCAATTGCCTTATATCTGCGCGGCAATTTAGCCTAATCAGCAGTGTTTGAAATCTTAGGTGACACTGTAATGCTAAATTCAAAAGAATTTGAATTATCGGGTGAAACAGTTGTGGAGCAGCTCGAGGAAAAATCCTTGATCTGCGGCATGCCATTATTCGCGAGGAAATAGTCAAGGTCGATATCGTTCAATTATCTCCTCTGTCTTATCGACTTGAATGACGGTGGACTAATGACGTTTATTCGTAATGAAGACAGCGGTGCTCGCTGGGAAATAGTTGTAGCACGTGTTACAGGCCGAAGATCTCCTTCCGTATTCTTCTGTTGATGACATTTTCTGGGATCGCAATTATTTAACGTCCGCAGAACTTTCGTCGATGATCTTCTGTTGATTGGGACGTGCTACAAGACTTTCCCTTGTTGGTTGACCCGTATAGACTTCGTCTGAAGAGTGTCTCAGATGCAAATACAGTTTATTTTATTTTTTGAGCTGAACTGGAGAGATGATCGCAGGTGAGCATAAGTGTTTAACCTCAGTTGTTCAGTATTGTAATTCATCACAAGAAATGTGGCCGTGTTCGAATACCATCCCTTGAATTCCGAGTGAAATTCATTGCTACGTATTGTTTCAACTGGAATTAAAGTTTATATTGATTTTTAATTCGTACATATTTGAAGTTGAACTTTCCAGTTATTTGCCTCTGTTCGTCCTTGCACCAACTTAATTTACTTAATGTTTAACCTGATTCTATTTTTTTATCTTCGTCATTTATTGAATATATTCCATTATTCCATAAAAAATGTTGATTCTATTTTCAACTGGGTCTACGTACCCCTTGTTTGAACGCTTAATTGCCTTCGCAACATCTTAATCGCCTCCTGTCAAGTAAACCACGTACCGCCAGTGGTACACATGTTACTGCTTGAAAAGCGCTGCAGTAGAGTTCTCTTGTACTGTATCTTTAAACTATTCCTGAAAAATGATGGTCAAGTTGATGGAAGCAGCCGTAGTGTTTACAACTGTCGTGCGGCATTCGCATTGCTTCGATTTAATCTGAAGTATGGGTCTTCGTGATCGTGAAGGTAGACGGGATGATGGATACACGTGAGTGTTCGATGTACAGTGCTGAGTTTTGTTGGTGTCTGGCAAATGTGGATCATCGTTCACACCCCAGCTCGAATGTGCCACGTGTGTTGACATAGCTTTTATTTTTAGCGCTGATTAGCTCCATTCGAAGGAGCTAATCGGGTTCGAATACTTTCTTTGTATCCCCTGCTTCGCGTATACGGAAGTATTCCTTTCATTTATGCGTATTTATTTGAAGAAAATTCCTGGTTGGGACGAGGACCAATCACTGCAGTCTTGTGGGATTGGTCAGTGAATTTCGTAAGTTCAGATGAGGTACTGTACTTGAATATGTTTAATGGGTTTTATTGAATAGCATGCATTTGTGATCATATTTAAATGCAATAGGTTTGTTCTCAACTTCACGATTGTTCGAAGGGTGCTATGCCAGAAACACTTTTCTGCCGTTGGAAAACCATTGGTAACTGGGTCTGAACTGGTAGAGCCAGAAAACAGGAAAAGCGACATTTAAATGTCAGAAATAGTTATTGTAATTTTTAAAGGGAGTTTTCCTCACACTGATCAGTGACCATTTAACGAAAATTGGGAAAATACTGATGGAAAAATTCAAATACAGTAATTTCAAAGCACGTGCGTTCGAATTAAGCTGACTTTCGGTCCGAAAACTCTTTTCTCAGCATTAAAATCGTATTAAAGCACTTGCATTCGAATTAAGCTTCAGTTTAAGTCCGACAACTCCTATCTTTTTCAGAGGTTCCTCTATTTCGATATTTTAATTCGGGCTTTCAATCAATAAATAATTTTACTGCGTATGTGTACGAATCGGGTGCAGCGAAAGTCTTGAATAAGGTGCCGCTGAGGTCTTGAACGTAAACTCAGTACTGTACCCATAAAAGCTCTAGCTATTCATCTTCGTGTCTCGATGTAAGATGCATCCTTCCAGGAAAATCAAATGCGTGAATCTTATTTTTGAATTATAGTAGAGTAATGCATCTCAGAGTTAATTGTTTCTCTCAGCCTCCTCTGCCCCCGCCTTGTTGACTTTTATGGAAATACTGTGAAAATAACATTTCCCGGAAAAATTGAAGACGCTGGCGTAGGAGAACGATCTTTTTGCGTTCTCGCGATGTGCTTACTTGCTGAAGAAAGAAACGGAACAAAATGGGTCAGGTAAAAAATATTTTTTAACGGCAAAATGGAACGAAATTGCTTTCTAGATGCTGTTCTCGCTTCCGTATCTTCGTGTCAGCGGGTGTGCTCCCGTTTCCCGGATGCAGAATTGATGCCGAAAATAAGTTCTGGGATTTTCATTACCGGGTCGAGTTAAGTGCTCTCTAGCTCAAGTTGACTGATCACGTTACCTTGCTGACGTATGAAGATATTGGTCTTTCCCTTCCTACTCCGAGTTGTGATGCCCCGAAAAGTGGAATAATACCGTCGCGGTATACCATATATGCGGGGCTGGAGAAAGATTAGTGGTCGCAATTTTCCTTTCTTTCGTCGTCTTTTGTTCACAATATTGTGCTGTAATGTAGGATTAACCTCGGCATCCATTAAGGGAATGGGGGATTACCCGAGCGTCCATTTTGTTTCATTAGCGGAAAACTAAGCGACTTGTAAACTTTTCAATTTAAAATCAAGCCAACTTATTTTCATTCGATGGACGGACTGACTACAGTATTTGGGCTACAGCACTTATAAAATATTTGGCAATGTTGATGATATTATTTATGGTAATTCTTGAATTTTTATCTGTTGGTTTGATTTGTATCATCCGAAAAAGGACTCCCAGTCATTATACAGTACTGTACTGGTTTATCTCGATTCTGCTGAATTTATACTTTTTTTTTTACCACGTTTTTATGAACTCACTTTCTTGTCTGTCTGTCTGTCTGTCTGTTTGTCCGGATCAAATTTTGAAACTCAAATTTCACTCACTTCCCAACTAGCTATCAAGCTGAAACTTTCAGGATAGCCTAGAAACTGATGACAATGCAATCTTATGTGAAAAAATTAATTTTAAGAATATTTTTTAAAAAGAATAAAATAATTATAGTAGATTTCTATAATAAAACTTTGAGCAGGTTTTCCTTGGCCCCAAGAAAAAAACCCATGGTGAACTGAATTGGTCGCAGAGGTCCGAGTTCAATCCCACCCCCTGGAACATTTTTTTTTCTAATTAATTAACACGTTTTTATTAACTCACTTTCTTGTCTGTTTGTTTGTCCGGATCAAATTTTGAAACTCAAATTTCACTCACTTCCCGACTAGCTATCAAGCTGAAACTTTCAGGATAGCCTAGAAACTGATGACAATGCAATCTTTTGTGAAAAAATAAATTTTAAGAATATTTTTTAAAAAGAATAAAATAATTATAGTAGATTAAAAAATTAATCTAAAAACCCATGTTTTCAAAAAGCAAAAAATAACCTTAAACGTGGTGCGCATGGAGATTGTTGAGAAGAAGTGAAATACAAATGAAATAGATGCGCACCACATTTAAGGTTATTTTTTTCTTTTTTAAAACGTGGTTTTTTAGATTAATTTTTTAATCTACTATAATTATTTTCTTTATCCTTCAATAATCGTAAGGTTTCTAAAAACTGATGAAATAGCATGGGAAAATCGATGTGATATTGTTGAGTGAAATATGCACGACAGTTTTTCATTTCTGCCATCAGCTGTGAAAGAGATCTGGTACGAGTGGTTGCGTTTTTTTCGTGGTCGTAATTTGACGATGCTTTTTAAAATATGAGAGTGAGCGACAGTCCTTAGCTGAATCTAAAAATTAAAACAAATCTGAAAGGCCGTCCTCAATCGAAGTTCCCTCCAAAGTTGTGTCAAGACCAGCCGCACTTTATTTCCACTTTATTTCGCAAGTCGATGCTCGGACAGCCGAAAGTTCTGATAATTAATACAGAAGTACTGTATTTGCGGGACATTTTTCTGCTCCGATATAGCTTCAGAACCCGAGTATCCTGGATGAATTCAACATGTGACTAATAAACCCGTTACTTTTCTCGCAAATCAGTAAACTGTTCACAACGGAATTCGAGGGACCAGGAAAACAATTCGTTGTAGAGAGAATTTTGTTTTCAAGAATCTCTAAAAAATTGGGAGAGAAACCTGTTGGACCGAAAAAATCGTGTAGTACAGAGAAAAATAGTTTTAAAAGATCTCGTTGTAAAGAGAGAGATAATCCACCTGTCTGCAATTAAAAAATTTTTTTTTCATCGTTTTAGACGCCTGGTTGTTTTAGTTGCTTAGACAATCGGGAAGTTTACGATCAATCGTCAAATACCAAGTTCGAATGTTCTTTCTGCTGAAGTAAAATCTATTCCT